TTTTAGAGGTATGATAACTTAAGAGGAAACATGGATTATAAATACACATCAACTCTATAAGCATCAAATAGTTATGGTTATAAGCTACCTTTATTTTTTTAATACTATAGATGTGTTTATTGTTTAATTTTTTCATTTTTTATAACAGTCACATTTTTATGCATAAAATATAGAACATATTACAAGTCAATTTTATAGTTTGAGCACTAATACAAATATTATACAGTAAAAAAATTTAAAGATAACTACCATTGTCAAAGTGTTTCTTAATTATTCTTAATCTATGTGATAATTATACAATGTGCTGTGTATATAAAGTGATAGAAAGCAACAGTGCTAACAAAATATGCCAGGTTACTATTTGGAATCTTAGTCAAGATTTTTGTGCTCAAAGTAGTGAACCTTGTGACATAGTTTAAGAACTTAATTTCCACATTTCTAATGAAGAAGTTCAACTAATATGAAATGAATTATCCACCAATAAAAGAGAAACAAGGTTTGGCATGGTTTCACCATCAAGAAAACCATGATGGTTCAGAGCTAGCTGCCAAAGTTTAATCTACTATAGCATAAATGTTGGCGTGGAATACAAAACTGAAATGGCCTTTGGTATTTATTTGTCCTAAATATGTATTTCAAGAGTTAGTATCACAGTCAGAATAGTTATCAAGTCAGTTTGCATAAAGCTCAAAACTGTATTTAAATATTTAAAAATGTGACTAAAAATAACCTTACATATGAAGATACAGAGAAGCAAATGCTACACACTGGAGCACTGATTTTTAAAAAGATACAGGAAAAGTAAAAAGCTAAAAATTAGAGTAAAAGTGTTAGTCTCTCATTGTAATAACTTTTAAATTCATCTTGAATTGTTTGCTTATTAGGATTACAGTAGTGCAACAAAGATTTTGGTGCTAAACAATGAAAAAAACTGCAATGCTTTTTCAATAAATAGCAAATTTAAGGGAAAGATAATCAAGAAAATCCCTAATTGTGGATTGTTTTCCCCCTACTGATTTTAATAGCCCAATGTTTGGAAAACACAGAATTTGAAAGTGAAAGAAAATGTGAAATGTTTGTATATTAATTTATAATATGAATTCAGAAAACAATATAAACCAGAAGTTCAAAACAACAATTACAAGTTGATGCTAAAATGGTTTAAGACAGGAATCAGCCACAGTTGTATGCAAAGGCCAGAGAGTAAGTATCTTAGACTCTATGGACCAAGTAGACTCTGTTGCCACTACTTAACTCTGTCATTGGAGCTTGAAACCGGCCACAGACAATATTTTTAAAAATGGGTATGGCTGTGTACCAATAAAACTTTGTTTATGAACACTGCAATTTGCATTTTATGTGTTACAGAATAGTATTATTCTCCTTGGATTTTTTTCAACCATTTAATAATGTAAAAATTATTCTTAGCTTATAAGTCACACAAAAATCATCAGCAAACCAAATTTGTCTAGCAGGACATGGTATGTCAACTCTTGGTCTAAGGTATTACAGAAACAGCCTACACATGCAAGACCAAATACACATATACATGCAAGAAGAACCCTAAAAGCATATTAAATAAAGTTTTTTTAAAAAAAATAACCCTCAGAAAGCTATGGTTTTACCATCCATTCACCCAGAGAAATTCATAAAATTTATTTCTGTTTCACCATGAGAGGACCACCTTTGGAATTTGTTTTTGAAAGGAATAAATCACAATGCACAAATTACTGGAAAGGAAAACGAGGAGGAGAAAAAGGAGGAGGAGAAAACTCTTGAAGCTAAATAATTTTTAAAATGTATGGCTGCCTATACATATTGAAAACTCAGTTTTAAAATCCATATCTTAGGATGTGTATATGCACATTTACAAAATGATATTTCCTTACTTCTAATAATATTGCATTGAGAATTTAACTCCTTACTTTGGTCAATAGGCCAGCTGGGTACATCTCCATGTCCTTTTATAACAAAAACTGCTCCTAGAACACTTCCAGCATACTTAATTATATATCATTTTAGAATGCTCACTAATTTTATTTTTGTAACATTTTTCCCAGGTAAATAAGTTTCTAGAAAGAATTATTTCTCATAATCCTTCATCTCTCACAGTAATTAACATCATATTTAGCATACACCAGTGCTCAAAAAAAAATTTAATGGCTAAACTTTAATGAATAACAGAAAAACAAATGCCACTATTTGCAGTTCTATATTATGACAAACAGTTTAATCTGACGGAACAACTACCAATTTTCAGAAATCCCATCTGCACCCATGCATAGAAGCATAGTCAGAGGACAGAGGAACTGCTGGTCCTTCCCCTTCCTCATTCATATGCTGATACCCAAGCCACTCTCATGTTCAAATAATGAGCCGCATCCTGTTTGGGGGTTAGGGTCAAGGACATACCTTTGTAACTATAAGAAATCAGATGGACCTGACAAAAGTAAGAAGATTTAATATTCAGAGATCCTCACTACAACGGCCTAATATTAATCACCAAGTATTCTATGAATCAACAGAAGGAGAATATTAAAACATTTGAAACACTTCCACTTCATTCTTCCCAAGGTATAAGAGCCTTCAAAGGCTATATATTTGTGAAGTCACTTCCCCTTTGTTCCTTCAGTGACCTATCTGGCTGTTCTAGGATACACCTGGGGGCTTTGATTTTCAGTATCATTTTTTAATGGCCTCTGCTAGTAACCTACGCTTTCTATATTTTAAAAGTGTAATGCCAGGTGCAGTGGCTCACATCTGTAATCCTAGAGGCTAGAGGCAAAGGCTGGAAGATTGCCTGAGCCCAAAGTTTCAAAATCAGCCTGGGCAAATTGGTGAGACCTCACACCTCTGCAATAAAATAAAATAAAATAAACAAGTAGTCCGGCATGTAGAGTACCTGTGGTTCCAGCTACTTAGAAGGCTGAGGCAGAAGGATTGCCTGAGCCCAGCAGGTCAAGGTTGTGGTGGCTGTGAGCATGCCACCCACTGTACACCATCCTAGGCAACAGAGTGAGACTCTGATTAACACACACACACATACACACACAAAGTCTGAGGTGGCAATATGGGTCATAAGAATGAAGGAAAGGACAAGACAGTGACAAGAAAAGGGATTCCTTTGGCCACCTTTATCAAGAGAGGTGAGTTATGTGTGCCACAAACAGAATCAGCACAGGCTGAAGAAGATTCTATAGTACTTGGGCTTCCTTTTTTTTTTTTTTTGAGTTGGAGTCTTACTTTGTTGCCCAGGCTGGAGTGCAGTGGCATGCTCACAGTCACCCTAGAGTCGATCTGCTGGGCTCAGGCAATCCCTCCACTTCAGCCTTCCAAGTAGCCAGAACTACAGCAGTGTGCTACCACGCCCAGCTAATTTTTTGATTTATCGTAGAAATGGGGTCTCACCAAGTTTCCCATGGGCTTCTTTTTAAAAGTTCGTTTTTATAACTACTTGTATACCGAATCCTGAATTGTACCCCACATCTTTAAAAATAAAAAGTTCATTTTTGCAAGTCAGGCTTCGATCAAAAGAGCCAAAATAATGATATCGACTGCCAACTGTGAAAAATTACACATTTTTCATTAAGTGAAAAGATAATAAACAAGGCAAGAGTGAATGTACACTTTTGGAGAAATCTCTCATGATTAAATCTAAGAGCCCTCCTGACTCCCCTGGCCTCAACTGTCCTATGTCTCTGGACAAAGGCTGCAAATTCTCCAGAGGGTAGGAGATGATCAAAAGGTCTTCAGGGTGAGAAATCTGTTTAGGAAAGGACAGCTCCACAGGAGAAACACAGCTGTGTTCTCTTCTTCCCTCTCCCCATCCCTGACAAGAATAGAAACAAGAACTAGAATTTGAAAAACCAACTAAAGTGGAGTTCTGATTCAGATACAATCGTATTCAAAAGCACACATGTGTATAAGAAGACAAGAGAGACAGAAAAGGAGAATGTGAGCTGTAGGGAAATAACCAAGAGCTAGAAAGGCTTTGAAGTCTGGTAAGGCTACAGTACTAAAGAGCTCAATGTTCCCTTCCTTGAAGTTCTAAGGAGTTAAAGGTGGGAAGGAGAGGTAGGGACACAGTGTGCATCATAACTGTTAAATCTTAGTGAGAAAAGCATTAAATTCTACTTCGTGTTTAAAATCTACCTTTGCAAGATACTTACTAAATATAATTATTGCTACATCTAGGGGCATTAATGAAAAACTTTATATTCATTAAAAAGTATATAAATTGTGTTTTATTTGAGATCCAAATCAGAACATATTTTAAGTTTAAGTCCTGAATGGGAGCATACTCATCACCCCATCTGCATAATGAATCATTTTAAGGAGATGTCTAACATACAGCCTGAAAAAGGGGTCCACTGACATGATCATGTGCCAATATGATTAGAGTTCACTAGCCACCATCTTCCTATTATTCCCTCCAAACATGTAGAATTCTTGCTGATTTACGATGGAACAAATGTTTTTCACTCATTGAAAAATTTACTAAGCAGTTCTACAGTGGAAAAAAAAATCCACATTGACACATTGACATTTTATCTTCAGAACAATTACTGGCCATTCTCCTAGATCTCTCAGGTGCCAAGTGAGCCCCTGAAGCTGAAAAAAGTTAAGCCATCTACAAGGTCTCTGTGATGAATGGAGACGTCATTTGGATTCCCCAACTAAAGTTCCATCCATTAGACACATTTGCCAAAAAGGATGTCAGTCTACTTCCCATACCTGCTGTTTGGGTATCCACTGGGTAATGACCATTAATCTAGCTAAGGTGTACCCAAAATAAAGAAAGTAAACTTCAATGGGAGAGAAGTTAAAACTCTTGTAATCAGTCTCCTTAACTGTACCATCCTCACTAGCTAATCCGACTTTGACTGACACGCCCAAAGACCACAGTTTCACTCATTCAAGCACTATCCAGTGAATGTGAACTATGATTAACACCTTTGTGCACCTTTTATTTCTAAAAGGAAACAAAACTAAAAGCAAACCTGATGGCATCCATGGATCAGAAGTTGGTTTGGTCAAGGTGTTCACCTGCTCCCAATTGAAGTCATCATCTTCAGCTTGACTATATCCACATGTGCTGTATGGCTCATCAAAAAGGCAACCACCTAAAATGGAAAGGAATGAAAAGTAATTAACAATCAGGTCTCTGGAATAAGCTATTATGACTGAAGAAAGCCTTACACCTATTTGATGCCAAACTAAATTTGATTGGAGATTTCTGCTCAGAACTTTGGCTCTAGCCCTTGTTGTACCCTTGCTGAATGATATTCAGTATTAATTATGCCTCACCCACTGTCATGCAGTTCTCCAAAAGCAATCTGATGTTGGTAGAAGCCAGTGGGAAGTAAGACCTAAACAAATTTAAAATTCCTATTTTCCCGATGTATAGGAATTGAGAAAACAGATCTTGCATTCAGAAGTTTAATGGAACTGCCTTAAGTGTTCAACGTGTTTGTTAAAAAAAAATTATTATTTGTCTAAAAAATTGGGGGAAAAAATGCATTCACCACAATACTGACACAATTGTAGAGGGCAAGATGCAGTACAAACCATATAGACGTAACCTATGAAATATTTTTCAAGGAATTATTCTAAGTCTAACACAGAAGAAACAGGTTTCACTTTAATACTTTGGAGATTTGAGGTCTCAAAATTAAGAGAAATTATAAATTCACTTATAGTCCATACAAGTTTTAAAGGCAAAAATAAATCTAAGACTAAATATGTGGTAAACATCTGCTCAATTTTGGTACTAGAAATGAAACTACTTAAATAGAGAAACAAAAAATAATAGAAAATGCAGTATATACATAGCAGTTCAGCTGTTTCAGCATCAGTAGCATTCAGCACGTTGATGATTTTAAGGCCCATCCCATATCCTCTTAAATGTCTCCTGTGACTTTTTACAGTATCAGATATTTTTTCCAATGCTTCATATGGGGAAAGTGAGTGATTATATTGATTATATTAATTATTATAAAAAGCCTACTATTATATTATGCTATTAATTATACTAATCCAAAATTTATAATTGCTTACCAATTATGAAAATTACAAGCTCCCAGTAAAGAAAGCACAAATTTAAGAATGTTTATACTATGTCTGCAATGTACACCCTGGTGGCAAGAAGATAAGGAAAACAGCCACTGTACAACCTCAGAGGGAAAACAGTTGTTAGAGGTTACCTGGTCCAACTTCCATTCAAAAGCTTAGGTCAGTTCTACAATCTGTCAGACAGACAGCCAGCCTCTGAACAGACAAGGCACTCAGAATTTTGTAAAGCATCCCTACCATGTAGAAAATTCTCTCTTAAAAAGACCCAAACTCTGCTTCTTGAAACGTATACCCATTTATCTTTATCCTGTAAAGAAATAGTAAAAATAAATAAATAAATAAAAACACTTCAGCTCTTGCACAGAAAAACTGATTTTTAAAAAACAGCTGTCATGTTCTAAGTCTTCACTTCTACAGGCAAAACATACTTTGCTCCCTCAATTCCTCTTACAGGAAGGTTTTCAGACCCTTCACCATCCTGGCAGGTGTTCAGAATTCAACGGGCTACTGCCTTTGACCTTGTTCTGTTTTCAACAGTCCAGGCAGGGTGCTAGTCCTTTCTGAGCTTCTGTGAGCCCGAAATCCCACACGGCTTTTTCACACCACTACCATCGAGCCATTTCTCTGCTTTTGTAATAAGGTAAGTGACTTTCTAAATTCAAATGAGGACTGTCCATTTGGACTTACTAAATCCCATCTCTTGTTTTCAGTGCATCACTCCAGCCTATAAATCCTGACACTGGCATTCAGATAATAGTCATCCTACCTAGTTTGTGTTATTTACAAATTTGATGAGCACGCTTTCTACCCCTGCCTCCAAATCACTGACACAAAAATATTACACAGGATAGCATCAATGAACCTCAGATTGTCTCTCCCAGCTTCCTAGCTGTGTTCATCATTAGCTCCAGCCCTGATGGTGAAATCAGTAGCCATGGCCATTGTCTTCTGTAACACTTAACAGTACTCGTTTTTAACTAAACATTCCACTGAGAACAAAAAACTCATAATAAAAGATAACAGCATTAACTCCATATTTCACCTTGACAACAACCAGTCATTTATATTTCCCTACTGAGTTTTAACAAGTTCAGAAACAAAGCAGATTTGTTTAAAGTGCATAATACTAATAACTTTCCAATATGGGATAAGAAATGTTAGAAGACTATGCAAACATTTATGGGAAATATTTTCTCTTGGTTGCAAACTCTAATTCTGATGTAGAAAATAGCTCCAGTATTGTAGGAATAAACCCAAACAGTGTTAGCACTAATAATATTCAAACAGAATGAAATCATCAGTTTTGAAAGAAAAGGGTCCCTCAGTGGACCCTTTCTGATGAAAGTCCTGTAATGCAATCTCAAACAGTGAGAAACAGTGATCAGCATCCACAAAACAACTTAAGGCTGGTTAAAGACCTGCTTTACAAAATGACTGTTGGCACTAAAATAGAACCAAATATGAAGGCAAGAGCATGCATGCATGGCTGAGAGCAAACCCAGAAGACCAATACAACGCTGGTGGAGGTTATAATTTTCCCATTACACAAAGCTGTTTTTATCACTTGAAATAAAACATATAAAGTATGATATGGTTCTTTCTGGACCCATGAAGAATTGTTGAGCCACTGGAAAATGCAATAGACTGAATTTCTTATTGCCCAACTAGGATGCAACCCCCTGCACACCAACCTTCAGAGCCACCGCTGCCCTTCATTCAACAGATGTGGGACCACCAAAATAGCAAAGGTGGTTTACTGAGCTAAAATAAGAAGAAATTAAAGTCAATGACACCAGAATTGAAATAACCAATTAAAGAGAGACAATTAAGCTTTTGATTTTCAGAGCAGCTTTATTTAGGAGTGAAGTGTACAGTTCCGGATCAAACACTGGCACAACCCAATTCTTCCACTACTAGCTGTGTTTTACACAGATCACTAAGCCTCTCTCAAGCCTAGATCCTTTACCTATAAAATGGAAATAATGCATATCCCACATGGTATTTCTGATGGTTAAATTACCCAGCAAAGGTAAATTCTTCTCACCACAAATACGTCATACAATTACCCTCAGGAGCTCACTTCATCGCAACTAATTAGAAGATATAATTGAAAATTTAAAAGTGCACTTCATATGAAGGTGAAGAGTTGTGAACATTCATACAAGTAACACCCCTGTGGGTGCCTCTATTAAACATGGAAGTGCAAAGAACAGGCTGTTGAATAGGTTATTCAAGTAAATATACTGTGGGAGCCTGTGAAAAAATATGATAAGGAAGCAAGGTTTCCTGAAACACAGTGAAAGGAAGCAGTTCCAAAAACACAGTTCTCTTTAATTTCTGAACAACACAGACCAATTTTGCCATCATCTACAGGAGTGTGGTCAGCAACAGACTTCCCAAGATTTCTCCAAAATTGTCATTTCTGAACTGACTCCCAATAGCCCATGGCCGAACTATATTCCTCTGTCAAATCAAAAATTATTTCTCTTTTGTGGAGAGGAATCAGAACTAAACCAAAAGTCATATACAAGATGGAGGAAAGGTTATACAAGCTGAGTGGACTGGTGTTCTGCTTCATATATTCTCTCTCTCTATCTCTCTCTCTCTCTCTCTCTTTCACACACACACACACACGCACACACACGCATGCCTACCATCACAGTTCAAGAAAGGCCTGTCCTTAGCATCTCTGAATACAACACACAATATTTGCTAGCTTAATAATGTCATGCCCTATTCCCAGACATGCAATACAATAACATGAAAAATTGAGTTAATAAAAATGTTAAAGTATAAATTAAAAAGCAATGCAAATAGAACAGAGAAAAGATTAAAATGACCAGAAATATGACTAGAATATTCTAGAATACTCCCTCACCCACCGCCAAATAATTAAAAATACCACAAGATTCATGTGCTTGAAGTAATCTACAGATTTCACTTTGAGCTTTGGGGTAGCCAGTGCAAAGAGGGAAATATGACTGATTACCCAATTCACAGTATCTGTGAAATAATATTAAGACAAAAACTAATAATAGGGACTAACATTTACTAAGAACTTGTTTAATCCTCACATACTCTATAAGGTAGATACTATGATCCTCACTTTCCCAGATACAGAAACCAAGGTTAGATAGATGGTTGCACGGCCTGCTCAAGGTCTCAATGCAGGAAAGTACTGAAGCAGATATTTGAACCCAGCCATACTGACTTTGGAGGGGGGTTGTTGAGGAACATGACAGTACCTTCCAAACTGGAAACGCAAAAGAAACACAGCTACTCCTAATCCTAAATTCAGAGAGAACTATCTTCCCAGAATATAGAAAAAGCAATCAACATAAGTTAATAAAAAGTTCTCAATAGCATCAGTTAGAACAGGGCAATGAGTTTTAGGGCCTATTCAGTAACATCTTATGATAGCATGTGACCAAACTACATTTTAACAAACTTGATTTTGTGGGAGCTCAGTGCATTCTAGATTAAAGCTGAAATATCCCTTGAAATTATCTTTATGAATACTGTTTTTCTCAACAATGCCTTAGTGGGCTGCCATGAATTTGCATATTTATTCCCCAACTAAACATGAGTAGTCTATGCTATTACTGAAATGTAGACTCACATGTGTTAAAGATCAGAAAAAATGGTGTTAGGTCTGATATATTTTCATGAGAACTGCAGAGTTTAAGAACAGGTATCTGAAAGTCCATAGGCAGGGTAGGAATTCTGCTCAAAAGCAATACTGATTGTAAATATATCTTAGTCATATCAGTATTCCCTATAGCTGGTACATGATAGCCACCCAATAAATGCTTTTTAAAAGAATGTGTAATGAATTCCCCCAAATTCTATGCAGAATCCGACCGCAATAATTTTACCTGGAAATTTGTAAAAGAAATGTCAAATAATATCAACATAATCAATGAAAACAATCTTTTTACACAGTCCCACAAAACATCCAGCAGCCTTGTTCTGGTGTACCCAAGATGAATCAGCTGAAAAATGTGACTAAATCAACTGAATATGTTCATTTTTTTATTATGATTGAAAACTA